CTCAAAAGCAAGTATTTATGTTTACAGTGTTATACCCTAAAGTGGCTTTTTAAGGAGAGCACTTGCTTCCAAACCTATACCCAGAGAGGCTTTTAGGAATTACAGCAAACTATAATGCAAACGTTTGTCTCTCTTTGTCTTTGACTCTCTCGCTATCCCTGATCACTAGTCCGGCTGCCTGGGGTCAGAGAGCAGTGGTGCAGAGACCTCTTTCAAATTCAAATTATACCATTGTGAATTTGAAATAGGCCATTTTGGAATTTTGGAAGCAGTAATTTTAAGTTTGACAAGCAGTGAACAACACAAAAATACAATTCAATAAAGCCATTTAAAGCAGCAAACTGCACTGAGGCCCTGATAAAACCATCCAACCACCCCATGCCATCGTTGTAAACTTTCTGGCCTCAGTGCCTGGACAAGGTCTTCATCCATCAGGTCAAAGGAAAGACTTACCTCTACCATTACGGCTGAGCTCCCCTCATGAAGCAGTCCTATTAGACCTTCCGTGGTCTTCCGCCCTTGAAGTTTCAACGCTTTGCTCCATCCCTCCTTCTGTGCTTGTTCATGCAACCAGATTTCAGCCTTTGAAGACAAATCCCAGCATGAGAGGTAATCTAATCATTCGCCCATCTATTCACCCATACACATGTAGTCCTCGACTTACAACAGTTCGTTTAATGACCGTTCAAAGTTACAATGGCGTTGAAAAAATTATGACTTATGACTTGTTTTCACATGACCGTTGCAGCATGACCCATGGTTACATGATCAAAATTCAGGAGTTTGGCAACTGATTCAGATTTACGTCTGGTGATCGTGGGATTACCTTTTGCAACCTTCTGACAAGCAAAGTCACTGGGGAAATCAGATTTACTTAAAAACCACGGTATTAATTTAACCACTGCAGTGAATGACTTAGCAAATGTGGCGAGGAAAGTCGTAAAATGGGGCAAAACTCACTTAACAACTTTCTCATTTAGCAACATAAATTTTGGGCTCAATTGTGGTCGTAAATTGAGGACTACCTATATATATACAGAGAAAAAGATATATAATCCAGAAGCAAATTCAGAGAAAACAAGATAAATTAAACCATCAAACATCTCACAAGGGAATTACCACCCATTCTGATCTAGAGACAGACACATGTTAAAGGGATCATGTAAATAGGGCACTGGGGGATATATAAATATTGGCAGGAATAATGTTCAAGAAACAAAGAATGCCCACTTCCAATATCCCCCAGGGACATTGTTTAATTGAGGGGATATTAGATAAAAACAAATATATTTTCCCATTATACTTCTACAAAAGTGAATAGCTCTGAACATATCCCTATTGCAAAGATATTTTGTAAGTAGAAAGAAAATCACTGAAAAGTCCCTCAGTCACATTCCAGTTTTTTCCCATGTATGGATTTTCAGAGTAGCAGGAATAGCAGTGGGTGGTTCCACATCTGAGCGCTTCCCTTCCTGTTTACTCTTTAACTGTATAAAGGTTTGCATAGAAAAGGCAACACCAAAAATGTGATTTTTACAATTAGAACTGCAGAAAAAACAATTACTACCAATCTGCCTTCCGTTGAGGACCTGTATACTGCACGAGTCAAAAAGAGGGCAGTGAAAATATTTACAGACCCCTCACATCCCGGACATAACCTGTTTCAACTCCTTCCCTCAAAACGACGCTATAGAGCACTGCACACCAGAACTAGACACAAGGAGTTTTTCCCCGAAAGCCATCACTCTGCTAAACAAATAATTCCCTCAATGCTGTCAAACTACTGAGTCTGCATTACTATTACGCTTCTCAACATTCCTATCACCCATCTCCTCCCACTTGTGACTGTATGAGTGTAACTTTGTTGCTTGTATCCTTACGATCTATATTGACTGTTTCCTAGTATGATTTGATTGCTTTTTTGACTATCATTAAGTGTTGTACCTTATGAATATTTCTTTTATTTTTATGTACACTGAGAGCATATGCACCAAAGACAAATTCCTTGTGTGTCCAATCATACTTGGCCAATAAAGAATTCTATTATGTTTGCCTATGAAAGTATGCATGAATTCACAAGGTAAGAAGAAACAAGAGTCAGTAAAAAATTAATATTTACTCCAGCCTAAATTCTTTAATGTCAGTAGGATTTACTGTTTTATCAGCAAGCACAAGATTGCTGCTTTAAGACAAAACTGTACCTCAGATTTTAAGACAAGAATTTTTTTTGAAGCAGCATGTTCAGGGAGAAAGAATGAGAAAATGAAAGATATGGATTACAATATCATACACACACAGAAGTTTTTCTTACTTCTTCAATATTATCATCATATTTTTCCAAGGCTTTCTTGCAGTTTACAAAGGAATAGCCAGTTTTCTTCCTAAGTTTCATCAGTGCTTCCTTTGCTGCCAGGACAGGAATGCCAGGATGAAGGAAACGAGGCAAATGCCATTGCTGAATGGGGAAAAACAACAAATAAAATGAAAAGGTTTGACAAGGTTCTGTTAGGGGAGGCATATTCCCAAAGAGACTGTGCAGGTACCAATTCACCTGTAGCCAAGGCTGTCTTTTGATCTGGTGAGAACCTACAGAAAAGAGATGCAACTCTCTTCTCAGATGCTGAAGAAATGTAGTCCATAGTGCCAAACTGTCTTCTGAAGCATGGAAAAAAACTTCAGTTTTTCCCAACCATCTGAAGCTTGGAGTATGGGAACAAATTTCTATTCTTTATTATGTTTGTAGAGTTGCAATAAACTACTCTATAGGAAGTTTACAATACAAAATACAACGCCTACAAAATCACAATGTATTTCATAAGTTAAAAACTGTAGCACACAATTCCATTATAAAACATCCAACTTTAATTAGCCTTTCCTTGTAGAGGACCTGTATACTGCATTGAGGACCTGTATTTTTCACTGAGCACCTTTATAAGGCAAGAGTCAAAAAGAGAGCTGTGAAAATATCTACAGACCCCTCACATCCTGGATATAAATTGTTTCAACTTCTACCCTCAAGACGCTATAGGGTACTGCATACCAGAACAACTAGACACAAGGACAGTCCCCCCCCCCACATGCCATCACTCTGCTAAACTAATTCCCACAACACTGTCAAATTATTTATTAAAACTGTATTACTATTACTCTTCTCATCCTTCCCAGTACCTATCTCTTCCCACTTATGACTATAACTGTGTTGCTTGTATCTTTACAATTTATATTGTTTTGTTTTCTTAGTATGATTTTATTGATTATTAGTAACCTATGACTATCACTATGTGTTGTATCTTATGATGAATGTATTTTATTTTTTCTTTATATACACTGAGAGCATATGCACCAAAGACAAATTCCTTGTGTGTCCAATCAAACTTGGCCAATAAATAATTCAATTCAATCCAATTTTATAGATAAGCAAATCAACCTCCAAAGCTACTTTTCAAAAATATAGTTTTTACTACTTTTCTAAAGAATAACATGATATGGACCATTTGCACTTTTGGAGGGAAAGTCTTCTCGAGTAAAAGCAACTGTTGAAAAGAACTGCCTGCAACCCAGCAGAGAGGCAGCTCCTCTTTCTTGCTGTTCACAAGGAGTGGAAAGACAGAAGATCCAATCTGGGTTGGCCAACAGGACCAGAGGTTTACTCTTCCTCTACTAAACCTCTGGTTCCAGTGACTGACCCACATTGGATTCTGCAACATTATCCTAGGACACATATATTTTCCTTCATTTGTGGGCAGATTCAATTTGAAGATGGTCCAGAGAAACCTGAGACTCAAGCTCTTCAAGGTTTTACAGGTTAAAACTAACATTTTGAATTGTACCCATAAGACAATGCAGCATAGAATTGATGTCATGTGACTGTAGCAGCTCTTAGTTGCCAGTAAATTGTTGATCATTTTGCACCGACTGCAGTTTCCAAATAATTCTCAACGGCAGCCCTACGTAAATCCCATGGAAGAAGTCCACCCTTGAGATGAGGACATGAATTAGATCTTCCAATTTCAACTAATCCCCATTAGTGAGACACTGAATTGACTTATTGTGCCTTCGTGTCAGCCTTGATTCCGAGTGACTGACTAAACAAGTTCCTGCGGTTTTCTTGGTAGGAGTTTTCGGAAGTGGTTTGCATTGTCCCTGGAGCTGGGTGGGGGGGACGGAGTGGCCCCAAATCATCCAGCTGGCTTTGTACCCAAACAAGGGGGAACTAAAACTCACAGCCTATCGCTTTCTAACTTGGTGCCTTAAAAACCACTACACCAAACTATAATTTATATTCTGCCATTCTATGCAAAGATGAACAGAAGATTCATTCTAGATTTAACTATAGCCATTGGAAATTAAAAATAATAAAATGAAATTTGAATCGCAGGCGGAAATAGGAAAGCCCCACGTTAAGTTCCCACGCAGACAATCCTTTTGTTTTAAAGGCAAAGAGGAGCCTGCGAGACTCCTCCTATAAAAAGAAACGTGGGAACCTGCTCCAGTCTTGGTGACCTGGATGGAAACAGGCCGCAAGCAGAACCATTGCAGGTAAACTGGCTCAAGCTCGGCATCGCCTCCAGGCAGGCGCCTGTCTCACCTGCGGCACCAGGGCGCCCTTCGCTTGCAAGGAGACCAGAGTCCACCCCAGCCCCGAAACACGCAGCATGTCGAGGACGCGAAAATTAGACGTCATCCACCCACTGCGACAAGGGAGACTTGGCTTCTTTAGCGCGCAGAGCAGACCCTCCCTTCCCTCGGCGCTGATTCGCTCTAACCCTCCTAGGCGTTTCATTGGTTGAAGCGAGACGCCGCTTGAACCGTAGAGAGGTAAAGGGAGTCAGGCCCGCGCGGTGCTGGGTTTAGGCCGGTTTTTCCACCCGAAATTGGCAGCTTTTAAGATGGACTTGAATACTATTTAATGATGCAAATACTTAGCGATCTAGCATTTGCAGTATAATAATTGACGGAGATCAAGTAACGTAAATAAAAATTATTTTAGTTTATTTTTTTTATTTTAGATCGGCAGTTGACAAATGATCTCAAGGAGCCACATACGCTGGGATATATCTTCCATGCAATGCAGCGAGAATAAATAGTTGCAGCTGTACTTTGTACAATTGATATGCAATGCAGAATCTATTTACAAAGTGCATATATATCACTAAGCATCTTTTAAGATATATACAAATTCGACCGAAGCCTTGATTCCTAAATGGGACAGTATAGCGTTAAAAATACAAACACGCAGTGTTTGTTGCACATATAAACATCACATTCCACTTTGTATAAGTTATTGTAAAGAGGAAGACACAAAAACATCTCAAAATGAGAAAAGGCACCATGGGTTTTAATGCATATATTAAATGTTTCACTTTGCCTAGCTGGTACATTCTTGAACTTCTACTTTTAAGCAAGAACCAACACTTGAATTCCACATCATTCTTAGGACAGTTTTATGGAACCTTGTGGATTTCAGAGGGAACTTGAGTTTGCTTCTGAGATTCTGATTAGTGATTTAACTGAGGCCTTAATTGCCACTTTGGATTGAGTGTGTGACAGCTTTGGATCACATTGTGCCTATACGGCAGAAGTTTCCAAACTTGGCAACTTTAAGACTTGTGGACTTCAACTCCCAGAATTCTATATGGCTTGATTCCAGAGAGCTGTGATTTTCAAAGAGCCTTCTAGAAATTAAATGATAAAATGTTGCTGGAAGAGGATGAAGAGCAAAATCAGGATTTTAGTCATAGGGGGGAAAAACTCTCTACTCTAGAAGCAGTCGCTAAATCCAACAACACCGGACAATTTGTCTGTTGGGGAAGTATATTAAGCTGCAACTTTGGAGGTCATTTTAATTTTGGGGTTCTGCCCTAGGTGTAATAGTGAGATGGCATTAATCATACTTGTGGATCACCTCTAGCAGGACTGGGATAGAAGTAGTGTATCGATCTTAGCCTTCCTTGGGTCTCTCAGGTCCCACTTTACAACATCCAGAGTTCTTGGTTTTCCCCACTCCTATTTAACAGTTACATGAACCTGCTGGGCAAGGGTGAAGTTATCTGATAGCACAAGGTCAAGTGTCATTAGTGTGCTGATGATTGATGATAGTTTGACTCTTGACAAACCAAGTGATGCTATTGAGCTTCTACCTCAGAATCTGCAGGCTCTGGGGGCCCAAATGGGGAAAAACAAGCTTAGGCTCAATCTTAATAAAACTTGAGTAGCTATGGAGTTTAGACCCCCCATCCCACCCCAAATCTGGGGATTTTCCATCACTGGTTCTGGATGGGGTTGCACTGCCCCAGACACAATTGGTGTGCAATTCTGCAATTTCTCCTAGGCTCTCAACTTCTGCTTAAGGGTAAAAAAAGAGCCGTTGTACAAATACATCTTGTGCATCATTTGCAACCGTACTCGGACCAGGAGGCCCTTAGGATAGTTATTCATGCTTTGATGACCTTGTATTTGCACTACTGCAATGTGCTCTATGGAGCTGGCTTTGAAAATCACACAAAGCCTACCACTGAACCAGAATGCAGCAGCAATAGGTATAGACTGCCTTGCTACATCTGAGTAATTACAACTGGGAGAGCTGCAGAAGCTCCCAGTAGATTTCTCCATTAATTCAAGATGCTGGTTGTCATGCAGCATGACTCAGGGTCTAGATTATTTGTGGGATCACTTGTTTCCAATTATTTGTGGACAAGTTCTGAATCCTTTTCATTCAACTTAGGGGACCTACAAAATGTATCTTTATTCAACCCTGTGAAACAGCGTATCAGCTGAGATTCAGATGCTCTGACTCTGATGTGGATATATATGTTGCCCCAAGTGTGATGTGCGTCAGAGTATATTTTTAACTTGCTGTTTTTCTCACCCAGGAGCAAATGTCAAAGGGCAGACATGCAATTCAAATCAATGAATAAACTTTCCTAAGTGCAGCAGAGTCTACCTCTGTTCACCATTGGAACTACTGTGTTCTGTCTTATGTACACAAACCATTTGTTGCCTCAGACAGCCACTTCCGAACATTCCTGCAAAAAAGAACAAAATGAGACATTCCTGAAAGCCATAACACTCCTAGAAAATACACTCTCCTAAAGATGTAGTAACTTCAGATTTCTCTCACGGTTTCTTCAGGAAAAGAGGATGAAGACATAGAGAGAATGGCTGCCTCATATTAAATCCCCACTGGCAATATATACTTGTTAGGACCGCTGCTGTTTCTTCAGACAGGATTCTTCCTTGCAAGGTTTGCAGATCTGTTCTTACAGAAATTAGTGAGAGATACCAAGTTCACTCCACGCTGAATTCTCAAATCAGTGTGTTTGTTTTCGTTTAAAAAAACGGAAAATGAATATTCCACTGTTTTAAGACCAAAGATAGCCTTGAACCAATTTAACTCTTGCTGGTCACTTTGTAGATGTTAATATTCTCGGTCTCATTCCTAAAGGTGAGTCTTGTGGTGAAGTACATAGGGAGCAGAGTCTCAAAAAACAGTGCTGTACTATGTTCCTCTCTCATTTTTGAAGAGAGATAGATAATGGATTGAGCACCGCATACATGCTGGAGAGTCCGTATCAGGAGTGGGTAAGTGTCCTTGAGATAGACAATATCTGCACCCAGGATGAGGTCATAATTTTGAGGAAAGTCCTTGTGGTCCAGACCCCATGATAGGGCACAAACCCTGGTTCGGGCGATGCATTGTGCAGGCAAATTCCGATGGACATTCTCCTCTATCTGCTTCAAGGCTACGGGAAGATCTGTGATGGTTACATGGCCGCCTAAAAAAGAGAGGGAACTCTGAACAACAAAAAGCTTTCAAGGATTTAGACCACAGGTATTATCCACAACTAACCAAATTATCTCCAGCTATGCTTAAAAACAATAATAAGTCAGAAAGCGCAGCCTTGAGATCCATCTGCTCTCTTGACACATGCAGAACCTTTGTTCTGCATAAAAAAAGGGAATACAAATATCATCATAAAACTTCATGTTGAATTCAATAGTTCTATGCATAACAATATACCAACAAGAAACCGTGAGATGGGATGGCATATAAATGTAATTAAAAAAAATAATAAGTACAGGTAATCCTCGAATTAAACAACAGTTCATTTAGCAATCTTCAAAGTTACAATGGCACTGAAAAAAGTGACTGAGGGCTGTCTTTCATACTTACATCATCATGGTCACGTGATCAAAATTCAGATACTTTGGCAGCTGACTCATATTTATGAGGGTTGCAGTGTCCCGAGGTCATGTGATCACCTGTTGCGACTTTCTGATGAGGAAAGTCAATGGGGAAGCCAGATTCAGGTGAGAACCATGTTACTAACTTAACAACTGCAGTGATTCACACAACAGCTGTGGCAAGGAAGGTCGTAAAATGGGGCAAAATTCACTTAATGGCCGTTTAACTTAGCTACAAAAATTTTGGTCTTAAGTTGAGCACTACCTGTAAGCTTTTAACACATTATACTGTAGATCACAATGACTCATAATCTGTCCCCATGAAACCTTCACCTGCATTACAACATCCGAAGTTTAATTAATACAGGTTAAGTCCTCAACTTACAACCAATCCTTTAGTGACTTTCAACGTTACAACGGCGCTGCAAAAAGTGACATGATCATATTTCACACAACCATTGCAGCATCTTCATGCGATCAAATTTGAGACACTTGGCAACTGCATGTATTTCTGACATGCGGTTGCAGTGTCCCAGAGTCGTACATTTTGTGACCTTCTGGCAAGGTCAATGGGAAAGCCAGATTCACTTAACAACCATGTTACTTACTTAGTGAGTGCTGGTGGCACAGTGGTTAGAATGTAATATTGCAGGCTAGCTCTCCCCACAGCCTGGAGTTTGATCCTGATTGGCTCAAGGTTGACTCAGCCTTCCATCCTTCCAAGGTCAGTAAAATGATGACCCAGATTGTTGGGGGGGCTATATGCTGACATTGTAAACCACACAGAGAGTGCTGCAAACCACAACGGGGAAGTATACAAGTCGTAAGTGCTATTGCTACTAACTTAAAAACTGTAGTGATTCACTTAACTGTGGGGAAAAAAGTTGTAAAATGGGGCAAAATTCACTTAACTATCTTGCTTAGCAACAGAAACTCAGGGGTCAATTGGGGTTGTAAGTTGAGGATGATCTTCCCTCTCTTTGTCTGCAGTTAATTCAACATACCAAGAAGCGATGCGAGGATCCCAACAACACCTGTCCCAGCACCAAGCTCTATCACTGTCTTGCCCTGAAAATTCACCTTCTTCGCTTCAAAATATTCACAGAGAGCTAGAGCCTTAAAAACAGATGGATTAACATTTTAGAATGAAAAAATAAAAAAAATGAATATATAGTCCAAATATATGAATTATTTTTGCTTCACAGATTTCTTTTGATGCAGGCACCATGTTTTCTACTCTACTAAGTTTTTGTTTCCAAGTGGGCAATGTTTTAGCAATTGTTTTGAGTTACTTTGCATTCAATTTTTTTTTACATAAATCTATTCTATTTCATCACCCTGGTTTCACACACATCAGCAAGTTTATTATTACTTGCAAAATTTATTTCTCTGTCAAATTTCTGAGAAACAATGTTTTCCCAGAATAACTGAAACCCTAATGGTGGTGCTGCCAATTGGAAAATGGGAGGTCTTTTTCAGGCACATCTGGGTGGCCACTGTACAATACAGAATGCTGGATGAGAAAGGGTCTTAGTCTAATTCAGGGGTGCTGGCTGGGGGTTGTGGAATTTGAAGTCCACACATCTTAAAGCTGCCAAGGTTGGATACCCCGGGTCTATTCCACCCAGACCTCCATTCAACACTGGCCTAGAGGGACTTGGTGTCTTTGTTCATCCATATTCCTTGTGACTCTTCTAGGTGCTCCTTCATCTCAAGTGATCTCATCAGAGTTCATACCTAGAATGTAACAAATCCAGGAAGAATCCAGCTATTTACCACCAAATATTATATATTGGATTGACCTTTTTCTAGATTTTTTTTCTTGAAAGGAAAAGTTATGATTCCCCGATATTTACATTTTTCTGAATGAGTAATTAGTCTATACTTGATGTGTTCCTTATAACTAAATATACCTTGTACAAATTTATGTACAATATAATATCTTCCTCTAGCCCTCTCTCTTATTGTTCTTATTCAATTGCCTCCTCTTTCATATATTCATCCTGGCCTTGCTATTTATCCAAAGAAGACACTATTTCCTCCCTTTGGCACTTTATCTCTGCTTATCCCTAGGTACCCGACTGTCTGCAAGTAACCATGATAATGAAAAATGGCAGCATGTATAAATTTATGCCAAGGTGTAAACATCACTCTTTTGTCCGTGAACTTTGACATTAGATCCATATATGTAACTCACTGGATTTGTGTCATGACATTGCTATACTTTTCAACTTCTCTCTCCATTGTGTTCCCCCCTGCAAACACCCCTGATGCATTTTTATCTGAGATACCCTTTATCCTTAAGACTTTCAAAATAGTAATATGCTTATTCAGATATGCTAATATGACCATTAGGATATGAATACATTAAAAAGTTAAGCAAACTTGATAGCAGGGCTTGACTTATTCATTATAATGGACTGTGTTGATTCACATTAGTTTAGCATTTTGACTTTTTCTTTGATTTATGTTTTAAAGTTTTATTTGGTTTGAAGTCTCAATTAAATAGTGTTATGAAAATACTTGCACAAGTATATTAAATTGTTCTGGATTATCACATGCCAAGCACACGTATTATATTGTATTAGTTAGAAGACACAGATCTAAATATGCAGAGAAATGAGGCAAATGATATACCAAAGTACATTAAGTAGCCCCTAAAGAAACTGGTCCAATTATGTTCATTCCTTGTTTCTTTTGTGTAATTTATATTTTCCTTGTATTAATGCTATGCAACCAACCCAGCTTCAAAGCTAAGCCAACTGAGAAAAATAGGTGCCAAAGAGAGTTAAATATGTGCATGTAGGGGTGCCAAATCCCCACAGTCCCCTTTGAAACCAGATCACTCCATGTATTTACTATAATGAAACAGGCACACAAAAGCTTTAAATATTCATATTTCTTTGTTGTTAAGGCGTTACTGGTGCTTTTGTTAAATCAACAACTCCTGGGAACGATCACAAATTGTTAAGACTTTAAACTGCTCAAACTTTCTTTGTTCTGCCAATGACTGATACATGCATAAAGAATCTGACTGAACCAGCAGTGCCAGTTACTGGCATAACCATGTCGACCATTAAAGGAGGAGAATATTTTGTAGCTCAGGGTTGATATGAGGGATCCTTGGTGCTCTCTTGCAACCAAGCTCAGAGAGCACCAAGGACCCTTCAATCTCGACCGTCCCAGGCGTGACTTGCGCTCACCGCCTCCCAGACCGGAGCAGCTACTCCCAGCCGCGCCCCGTGGTACTGCGTGATGCTCAGCTCTTGCCCACAGAGCCGATACCGGGTCTGCACAGGAAAAGCATCAGCAAACAACTCCAGTTCCTGCGGAAACACCGACTCTAAACCCACTTCCACGTCGCCTGCAAACACCAGCGCCGCCATCTTTCCAAGTTTTTCTTAGGGGGCTGTCCTGGGGAGGGTAGCCCAGAAGGATCCGGGAACAGCTGGCGTACCCCATTCTGATTGGACAGGAGGGACAGCGCGTCTAATAGCTATTGGATCGCATGGGGAAAGGGGGAGGAGCTTAATCTTGCTCAGTTTCTCCACGTGATTTGTTTTGGTGGCGGGTGTTTACTTTGGTTCTGCTGGGAATGAGCGATAGATCACAGGTGTTCCTTAGACATCCCAAAGATTTAATCTCAGGACTATCAGATCCGGGCCAAAAACAAAAACAAAAAACGCAGACGAATATTAGATGGGAACGAAGATCATCTGGTCTGGCCATTCTGTTAATGCAGAATACGGAATCAAGAACACCTTACATAGAACACTGTTGTCTCTAATGAGGAAACCATTTTCACACGTTGGTAGCAGGCAGGGGGTAAAGAATCTTGACCCCTATAACTTTTCCTTCTTACGATTATCTTAACAAGTGAGATCAAAGTAAATCACCCTGCTATTGAAACCAAGGAAGTCATTATTCAGAATGCAACACTGCATTCATTTTCCCCTGGAACAATAACATTTACTTCTAGAACATCCATATCCTCCACTTAGAGACAAACAACCTACTCTCTAACAAATAATTTGGTTTCAGAAAAAAATTATCCTGTAATCTGCAACTCCTATACTGCAAAAACATGGATTACACAACTTGATCAGGACAAAGCAATTGGTGCTATTTACATAGACTTCTGTAAAGCCTTTGATTCGGTGGTACACAACAAACTACTAAAACTAAAATCTTATGGCATCTCCGGACACCTGCATAACTGGATAGATGCATTCCTGTCAAACAGGCAACAAATGGTCAAAATAGGGCACACCCTATCAAATCCTGTTCCTGTCAACAGTGGTGTCCCCCAAGGCAGCGTTCTAGGACCAACTCTCTTTATACTTCACATAAATGACCTCTGTGATCATATTAAGAGCAACTGCATTCTGTTTGCTGATGATGTAAAGCTATTCAATACCACTGACAATACTGCTACCCTTCAAAAAGACCTTGACTATGTATCAGAATGGTCAAACAAATGGCAACTTCAAATCTCAAAAAACAAATGCTCTGTCTTACATATCGGCAAAAAAAATCAGAATATAAAATACAAGCTAAATAATCAAGACCTTGTTGATGACCCCAGCTATGTCAAGGACCTTGGAGTACTCATCTCTAATGATCTAAGTGCTAGAGCCCACTGTAACTACATAGCCAAAAAGGCATTAAGAGTTGTTAACCTAATCCTGTGTAGCTTTTTCTCTGGTAATATCACACTACTAACTAGAGCATACAAAACATTTGCTAGACCAATACTTGAATACAGCTCATCAGTCTGGAATCTGCATTACATAGCGGATATTAATACAGTCGAGAAAGTCCAGAAATATTTCACGAGAAGAGTTCTCTACTCCTCTACTCGTTGCAGAATACCTTATGCCACCAGACTCGAAATTCTAGACTTAGAAAACCTAGAATTACGCGCCTTCGGTCCGATATAAGTATAGTATATAAAATCATACATTGCAATGTCCTACCTGTCAATGAATACTTCAGCTTCAACCACAACAATACAAGAGTACACAATAGATACAAACTCAAGGTTAACCGCACCAAACTTGATTGCAGGAAATACGACTTCAACAACAGAGTGGTCAATGTCTGGAATACTCTACCCGACTCTGTGGTTTCTTCCCCAAACCCCAAAAACTTTAACCTTAGACTGTCTACTATTGACCTCACCCCTTTCCTAAGAGGTCTGTAGGGGGCGTGCATAAGCGCACCAACGTGCCTACCGTCCCTGTCCTATTGTTTCTTTTTTATTCATATCCATTTCATGTATTCATAACCATGCTTATACTTATACCTGTTATCTAATACTTGCTTGTCAAATAAAATAACAAATAATAATAATAATAATAATAATAATAATAATAATAATAATAATAATAATAATAATAATAATAATAATAATAGATAGGATCATACAGGGTATTTGCATCCCTGGATGCCTTGTCTTTGTTTTATTGAAAAATTGCTATTTTTATATTTAGTACTCTTGGACATTTTTAGAGTCATCCTAGAGTCATCGTGACCAGCAATAATATTAAAATGCATTTTATTTTTCTGTAAAATAGTCTGATGCTTTGCAAATATTTGGGAGGGAAATTCAAATAGTCACTGTATGCAAGAAGCTTGATGCAGATGTGAATTGCAAAAACACTTGTCCAAAAATATTCAACAGAGAGGAGGCTCAGGAGAGTATCAGTGATGAGCCCTGCTGGAATGCTCGGTTCGAGTAATTGCCCAAGGAATGCTAGTCCAAATAATCTCACTGAATAGTTCTCACTTAATTCACCATAACAAGTAAGTGTGTATAAAATCACAGCTTTAGTCATGATTACAGTAATTTGGCTGGCCCAAAATGTAATACAAAATGTTTTCCAAATGATTGCTAAACATCGTGGCTCTCGCTATAATAGAGAGGCAGAATAGAAATCCAACTAATAAACAATAACAAATCTATAAATTGTAGCAAAACAAGGACAGTTTTTCTCCTCCAAAGTCTTGCTTTCATTAATGCAGAATTTCTTTTTGGCAAATGTAATAGCTTATCCATTATACTATTACATGTGCTACATTAAGCAACCTATAATTTAAGTCATGGCAATAGTCCACACAAACAGACGCTTACCTTTAGTCCTCAATGTCCTATTTGCTTATTTTCATGAAATTTCTGGCTTGGAGCCTGTTGAAGCACCCTACCATTGGCAATCCTGCTCTCTAGCGTCATTCTATGCGTTTGACTAGTAAAATAATAATGCTGCTGCTAGCTGATTTATGAGCCAGCTCCCAAAGGATCAGAAGGACATTCCGTGTTCCCTGACCCATCTCTGTTAGCTTCACAAGACTGGAGGTTTAAGAACAGGGAAAGAGAAGCCATTCCCACATTCATGAAAAGTCACCTGTTTGCTGAATGCTGAACTTGGAGAAGTGGGGTCAGCTCTTGACGCATATCACAGTTAAAAGTTATCTTTGCAAGACATTCAGACAGAAAAGATGCTCTTGTTTGGCTGACCTAGTTAGAGCATTTAACGAAAACCAACACAGTGTTAAAGATTAAAAGGCCCAGTGAATCCTTGGTATATTTCCATTCTTTTTGTTTAATTTTTCAAGGATTTCAAAGCAGTTATTTTTATGTAATAAAGAATTTATAGTTTGTAATAACCTACCTGATAACCTTCTATAATACTAATAATTTGTTCCTCAAAAGTATTAAGTATTAAATTATTACAAAATAGAGATTGGACTAATTCTACTGCAATGGCAAATGTGCTGGACTTGGTTGCAGAGTACAGTACAATTACTATAGGTGATGTGTAGGAGCCTTACTCTGGATATGATCAAGCCAAAATAATTCTGATACAACACATTCTGGACATTGGAAGACAACACGACTAGTCTCTCCTGCTCAGAAATGTTGAGCAATCAATCTTGTATTTTCAGACTGGCAAGACAGATTATAACATGATATTCAAACTGAGAAGAGCTTTAACACTGGCTCAGTTTAATGTTTTGCTGTCAGCTATTCTGGAAAGTAGCCACACACACAAAAGTCCATATGCTGCTCAATTATGTCCATGTGATACAGATGCCATAGAATGTATCATTCACATTTTATTGTGTTGCTGCTTTTGTAGAGATATTACAATTCATTTTAAGTTCCCATATCTAATAAAATAACCTAGCTTTCTGATACCTTCTATATAGATTTTTTTTTAGTCATTAAGAAAGACTATCTTGTTCAGAATTAATATTGGGGTGATTTATTTATAAAATGATAGCCTTGAAGAAGTAAGTGGATGAAAGCAAGTAATAATAAAAACAACTAAGTTGCTGGGTGGTTGTAGGAAAGAGGAAAGATGTATCAAATTAAAATAATCTCTCTGATCATTCATCCACATCTCTTCACAGAGCAATACGCTGTCAATTGTACAAAGATGATTACTTTTTAACTACTGCCCTTTTGGTTTCCTGTTGGAGTAGCCAAGTCATTCATCCATCTTTGTCAATGTGCGTCAAAGCCACAGGTCATTGTGATGTTCTGAAGTAAATCTTGGGCAATTAACTCTCTGAAGATGATTTCCTAGCTGATATACCATGAAGTGAGCTGGAGGCTCATAACACAGTTACTAAGATAGTACTATTTAGTTTCATGGTATGGGGCTTTTAGCATCCCATTGCATTGCAAATTCTGCTGATGGCCCATTGACATTTTTTGCAAGCAAATTCTTTGAAAATAACACACAATATTCAGATGTCTTAATTGTGTGTCTGTGTGTTTCTGTGCATGCATGTTTCTTTTTTTTACACTGGGTGCATTGCAAGCAGTCCTCCAAGTGCTGGCTGAACCACAACTCCATAAAGAATGGCAAAATGGCCAATAATGAGTGAGAAAGCCAATAAGGACAGACATTTGAAGCACAGGAGAGCTTCATATGACCAAATGTGGTTCAACTGGATGAATGAAAGGACGGGCTAAGTAGAGAAAACAGGATGGAATGGAATGGAATACAAGGTAAGGGGGGAAAATCTTCTGGAAGTGAGTGGGAAGCCAGTATAAGAATCAATTAAGAGCCATCATGTGGTCAACCTGATGAAAGGTGAAAGTGCCATAATAGCAATAGCACTTGGACTTATATACCGCTTTACAGTACTTTATAGCCCTCTCTAAGCTGTTTACAGAGTCAGCATATTGTCCCCAACAATCTGGGTCCTCATTTTACCCACCTCAGAAGGATGGAAGGCCGAGTCAACCTTGAGCCTGGTGAGATTCAAACTGCCAAATTGCAGGCAGCCGGCAGTCAGCAGAAGTAGCCTGCAGTACTGCATTCTAACCACTGTGCCACCGTGGCTAATGGGAGAGGGGACCCAAGAAAAAACTGCACATAGTTTCTTCCTG